CCTTTTATCAAATTCAGCTCCACAGTACAAGGTATAAAATACATTTTTCAACATATACTTACTATATACCCTGGTCACTATTATGCTGATACTAACAGAAACTGGTGTATATATTCTTGCTAATTTAAGTAAAAAAAAATTTTTCCTTAGACATACAAACTGGTAATCCACCTGAACAGTTTTCATTTACATAGATACATGGCTATTTTTATTTCATCTTTTTCATTAAAAACCCATATAGATTATTAATATGCTATAGAGACTTTCATACTTTTTCTAGGCGCTGAATCCTGTGGGCAACTGCTTCACAAAGTGGGTCCTCACTACCAAGGCAGAGACCATCTACATATTGATTTCGAGTCATGGGTGTTTTGGCCTTATGGGAACCGAGCTGAAAAGAAAAACCTCAGCACCTCAGCAGAGCATGGAGACTGGTCATCAGGTATATGAAGGACCAGAGCCATAACCACTTTTCTATTAAATGCTAAGATCTGCAGAAGACGTGCCCTCAAGTGTGTTTTTTGTTCTCGTGTGCCGTGGTCCACAATGGGCACCCCATGTGTGTAGCATTAGAACAACGGAGGACCCTAATGCACTGGCTGCAATGAAGATGAGAACCAGGAATTCTACAGGCCTACCCACTCGACCTCGTCCCAGTCACCTCTCTAGCAGTTGAAAAGTCACTGATAGACCATGTCCTTACTTCTTGTCAATTCTAGGTAACATTAAACATACCATCCATCTACTAGTCCTTCGTTGACAAACCATGTGAGTTTTCTTTTGGACAGCACTGTGTTGTTGAGATTTAGCCGGCTATATTCCCAAATATATGGTTTTCTTATGCCTAAAGCTTCAATAATCCAATAAAACTGTTCATCTCTGTCATGGTATTCTGTTGTTCTCAGGGCATGTGTAATACCTTCGATGCTGTCAACTATGGGGCATGCGAAATCGTATGTTGGATAAACACTAGAAAAAAGGGAATTAAAAAAAAAATCAACATGAATCATTTTGCCCTTTCCATCTTAGATTAGACATTATAAGCAGCAATACTAATTTAAAATATCATTCTTTACAAGTGAATAGTTTCTTTAAAAACCAACAGGTTTTATAACTCATAATAACTCAAAGTATATCAAAACTATTAGCCTTTGAGAACAATGAGTCAGCTACCCACTCAATATTCAAACAAAAGAGCAGATGTGCAATTTAATACACAATTAGGTATTCGCTTGGCAAATTTTACAATCACAGTATTTCGTAACAGCCAATGTATATCATGGTAAGGAAAAATAAACAATATATACAATAATTTTGAGAGAATTTAGCATTTGAATATCTTCGGCAACCCCTCATTCAAGTAAAAACCTAAGGGTCTAACATACTTGTAGTTTTTTAAATGCACTCAAGAACAGAGTTCATGCTCTAGTAAAAAACAATTAACAAAAACAGAAAATCATTAGGCTAATTAAAATTACATTTAAGATGGAATAGTCTTAAAACAATTTCTGCCTAAAATAATGCACATGCAGTATCAATTTGAAGTCTTAAAAATACATTACTGCACTATGTTTTCTAATTTTTAAGATACAACTTGATTAAGATGTTATTGCATTATACTTTGCAATTATTTAATACTGAAAATATGTATCCAAATGTAAAGGATTTGCTTAGTAAAACAAGAAGCAATCGCCCAGCAGAAATAACATATACACACACATAACCACACATATAAGTGTCTGTCTATATATGGACATACACATCCACACCCATGAGTTTAATGAAAGTCACATTAGCTAACCAGGTAATCATTTATATTCACCATTCTCTTTGGAAGTATTAATTCAGCATTTGTTTGTAGTAGGCTTCTCCAAAGTATAAGAAAATATATTCTATGCTTTATTCTATAAAGTAGGTTTGTTTTTGGAGGGGGGACCATTTAAAAACAAAAGTATGTTAACCTGCAAACCCACAAAGAAAACTAGTCAAAACTAGAATAAATACATGCTACTTTCTTGTATTGTTCGTATTTCTGTAAATTCTCAATACTACTACTTTTATGAATCAATATGTACACAGCAGAATCAAAGTTTATCATAGGAAGAGAAGATTCTTCATCTAAAGATACATACCACAGTGTACCTAATCAATATACAAAAAGCAACTTTAGGCAGACTCAAGGACTTTTATAAATGGAAATGATCTTAACTAGTATAACCTTAACTGACAAGTGAGTAAACAGCTCGTGAAAAGCTACATGCCTTTACAGAAGGCCACCAGGCAGTTAATCTGTGAATGAACAAAGGTGGAGGTCTCTTGACTACCTCCATCTACTCCATGTTTAGAGAGGATCACAACAAACATATTCAAAGAGATACACTTACTTGTATTTATTTCCAGTTCTTGGGTGTGGTTGAATTTTGCAGCGATAAAGGGTTGGGTCCCTCATGCACCCATTATTACTACTCATGTCAATTTTTGCTCGCAAACAACAAGACTGACCAAACTGGCTCCCTTTTTTCATTTCTTCCCACATTTGTAGATTCTTCTCAATAGCTATGAAATGATAGTTACAGTACAGTTTATCTACTGTGGCTGAATTACAATTATTTTAATAGTGCTGCAATTTGATACAAATTTTCATGTTCTTTTTTTTATTATAAGCATACTCCATTAGTTTAAAAACACTGTTAATAGTTCCAATATCTGGCACCAAGAACAAATGCATTGTTTTTTTAATGAAAGAAGTCTCACAATACATTTAGGAAATGTACTCTATAAATGTTTTAGAAAAGGTAACTTCAATACATTTCATTGGTGTAGTATCGATTAAGAGTAAGAAAGCTTGTACAAGGCCTAAGGTTCTTCTCATCCCATGTTTCCCGTTTTCCCATTATGGCACAACTAGCCAGCCCCTTCTTGTTTTCTCCCTCACCCAACTTTAAAACTCTGCCTTTAGGCTGGGCATGGTGGCGTACGCCTACAATCCCAGCATTTTGGGAGGCCAAGGCGGGAGGATCGCTTGAGGCCAGCAGCTCAAGACCAGCCTGAGCAAGAGCGAGACATCATCTGTACAAAAAACAGAAAAATTAGCCAGGCGTGCTGGCACAGGCCTGTAGTCCCAGCTACTGGGGAGGCTGAGGCAGGAGGATTGCTTGAACCCAGGAGTTTGAGGTTGTAGTGAGTTATGATGAGGTCTCCGCACTCCAGCCTGGGTGAGACCCCATCTCAAAAAAACCCAAACAAACAAAAAATTCTGTTTTTAAAGCAGAAGCATTCTCTTCCTTTGCCACCTCATGCCCAGGGTACAGAAGGGTTTGGCCTGGCCCTTAGGGCCCCTCAGGTATTGCCGCTACAGCACATCCCTTGTCTGAAGAACATGGCTTGGGCTGAGAGCCTGACCTGTGGGCTCCCTCAAGGCCCCTTTAGTCTTCCCAGTGAGAAGCAAGATACTCTTGGATCCGAGAAAATGAGAGAGGATAGAAAACAGACAGTGACACAACAGTTTAATACCAGATAAAAGGTCTCCATAACTGAATGACCATGGTTCTACCTATGTCAGAATATGGAAAACCTGTCCCATATGGATAAGAAAGAATTGTTAATAATTCCCTGTGGAAACTACTAAAGATACGATGGACACTTTACCTGCCCTCAAAGAATGAAAACAGGTCTAAAAGACCAGCTGTTAACTATCTTTGAAAATGTAGACAAACTTTTCAAAATAAAAAAGAAAGACCTATAACAATTGAATTTATTATAATTCCCAAATGTGGCACTCAAGATTTAAATACAGTATGGAAGTTCTGGCAATATAATTACAGAATGAAAATAGCCCAATTTATTTATTTTTTCTTTTTTTAAGCCAGTCAAATTTAGCAGTGGGGGGCTATATACCAACTTTAGTGACACCAATGTTAATAAGTTCTGATAAAAATAGCCCAATTTAGAAGGTCGGGATATAAGGCACGACTAAGAAAGATACGTTCTTTAGTCAAGTGATATTTCAGAGATATAGGTTAGCACTGAGCTTATATTCACATTTATCCACATGCTGAAAGGAAGACTTGGGTGGTAACAACATTATCATTGAACACTTTACTAGAAAGGGTATTTAAATTAAGAAAACTACAAAATGTTGCAAAAGGAATCCTACAAATGGAATAAATGCAATGCAAAAGACTGCACATAAAAATAAGTGAGAGAGCAAGGGCATGGTCACTTCAACAACATAAAGATGACAGAGAAAGAAAAAAGATTTCTGAGAGATGAGTTAACATATAAATAATATTCCTAAATGTGTTTCAAACCAGCAGTTTTGATAGAAATCATGTTCTACTAAAGAAGCAGAATATAAGAATATCAATTAACATATAAATAATATTCCCAAATGTGTTTCAAACCAGCAGTTTTGATAGAAATCATGTTCTACTAAAGAAGCAGAATATAAGAATATCAATTAAAATATAAAACATTAAATGTGCCTTACAATTTTTTCTATGTTTGGATTCTATCCTCTGCTCACGTTCTGCCTTCATCTGCTCAGCAGGAGTATCATCCACATAAGCCTTCCCTTCTTGAATTAGCTTCTCTGCATACTTCATTATAGTTTCAAAATGATCCGAGGTGTAAGTAAATTGATCCGGGTTGATATGCAACATTGCAACATCTTCCAAGATAACCTGCAATAATAAGCCAAAACAACAATCAGTAGATCTTTTGTAATTTTTTGTGCATTTCCAACCCTTGATACTGCATTTGGGCAAATGTAATAACACACCATCAGTCTTATATAGCCTGAAAATGGTTGTGGAAGTTGTATGATATTAGCTCAAAAAAGAAAAAAAGAGATAGATATTCATTATATTAGCCTCCAAATTTCCAGCTGAGAAAGCTGATCTCATGATGGAGCTTTCCATTTACTCTGGAAAAGCTGGTTAGTACTGGTCAAGCTGATAATTATTTGCCCTCTCTTTGAATACACTGCAGTGCTTCTGAATAAAGATGAGATAAGAGGCTAGGAAACCTTCACATTTTCTAATACCTACTTAGTGTTTATTTCATTCATAAATTTCAGATTACAGGACAAAAAGGAAATCTGCCTCCAGTGACCAATTCACTTAAGAAATTGGTACTTACAGGGAAATACAGCATTTAGGTAAATTCTACAATTAGGGAAGAGAAAAATAAATTTAAGTTTTTTGGTATAGGAGCTTGATATTTCTTGTCTTAGGTCTCAGACATGGAATATACAAATGAGGGGCAAAAAAGCAGCTATGAGAAAAAACTTATTTTATTTTCATACCATGAAGGTATTAAGTCACCCTCTAATTTTAATTAACTTTTCTGACAAAGGGTCATCACTACACTTTTAGTTACCTTCTCAAAATCTTCCTTTTCTTTTTCAGGATTTGTGTCATCAAATCTCATGATCAGTTTCCCTTTAAAGTTAACCTGGTAGTGCTGGTTCAGAAGAGCAGCTTTTGCATGCCCAATGTGTAAGTAACTAAAACAAAAACATTTCACAAAGAAACTCATTAACATGCTTTAACTAAATATTTAAACTTAACCTTTTTGAGGAGATGAGAACTAAACAAAAATCCTTCTAATTGGTACTCCAGTCATATTTTATATTCTAACAAGAAGTACTGTGATAGAAAACCTGACCCTGACAGGAAGAAAAAGACCACATTTATAAAATAATCACAAGAAACAACTTCATATGTAAAACTCACAAAGGGACAAGGTATTTACAAATATTGCAAGAATCTTCTTTTTCTTTTTCTCAAAAGGAACAGTCATCTAACTGGAGAAAAACCACTTCCAATACTGTTTCCAATGCTACGTGGTAGGGTATCTGTAATAAGACCTGCTACTACTGAGAACAGGGTGCTCGCCTAATGCCCACTAGAGAGAAGCTCCTCTGAGATTGTCACTGTCACTGTGATGGCTAAATGAGAGAGCACATGAGAATCAGGAAGCCACAGAAAACCCACTTCTCTAGGCTTCTATTTTCTCAGATGCCAAAATAAAACAATTTTAACTAAATGATCCTGAAGTTCTTCTCAGCACCAACACTCCACATGGATTAGAATCTATGAAACACTGTTCTGTTCCTGTGAGTAGCTAAAAATTGTAAGGAATAAATAAGAGGCACTGTTGATAATATCACACATCAACATCTTCCTCTATCGATGAGGACGGTAAAAAGCCATATCCTACACCACTACTGTTGAAAATACACTTGATTGGGGCAGGGAACAAGGTGTGAAATTTAGCCAGCTCTCAGCAGCTTCTATCGGTTTCAATTAATGACGGCAGCAGTCACAGTTTCAAGACAGTCACCTAGTTTCATGAACACCTTTGATGGGAGGGAAAAGTACAACCTCTTGTGTGTCTCTATATCTTTTTTTTGTTATTTTCTACATCATTTTTTAAATCGATTCATTTTTTAGAATTTCATGCAGCATTTCAGATAAATTACTCCACTTTAGGAAAGGTTTATATGCATAGGCTAATACAAACAAGTACGATGCAAGGCATTTAGGGCTATTCAAAACTTTCTGCATAAAATAAAGGGCTGTATATGACATCCCAGATGAGGTCTTAGAAGAGAAAAAAAAATGTATTAGGAAAAAACAAATGAAATCCCAATGCATGTAGTGGCTCATGCCTGCAATCCCACCAACTGGGGAGGCTGAGGTGGGAGGATAGCGCGAGCCCAGGATTTCAAGACTGCAGTGAGCTATGATTGCACCACTGCACTCCAGCCTGGGCAACAGAATGAGACCCTGTCTTTAAAAGAGAAAAAAAAAATCCATAAACAGTATGGAGTTTAATTAATAATGTACCAAAATTGATTCATTAGTTATGAAATATGTACCAAAGTAATATAAGATGTTAACATTAGGAAAAAGTGGGTACAGGGTATATGGAAACTTTCTGTACTATTTTTGCAACTTTCTATAAATCTACAGCTATTCTAAAATGAAGGTTTATTTAAAATAAAATAAAGGGCTATATATCCCAAGAAACAAAAATACTGTGTATAGATTTTATTAGGGGGTTGCACCCAATAACATGCTATAATCACTGTCAAGAAGAAAAAAGAAAAGACTAATAATCATTGATATCACTGACTGGCTATTATGTGATGGTTAATGTGCTTGGCTTTCCATACAGGAATTAATTCAAGAAGGGTAATGAAATCAAGACATCTTATACTTAAAGGCATCATTTCTGAATCTGAAATAATGTGTGCAGTTCTAACAATTCCAAACCTCAAGAAAGCTAAAAGGACTATAAAATATTCACAAGACAACTAAAATAATCAGTTAAAGAGACAACCTATATCAGAAAAGCTAACGAAAGTAAGAACCATGCTACATGAGTTAGTAACTGATGTTGAATTGGGCTTCTGCCACATATAACAGACACAGGCAGTATAATTTTTAGTTATTGGATTCTACAGCCAGATAGCACAGGGTTGAGTTTGGCAAGTTACTAAAATATTGCATGAATCAGTTTCTAAAACCATGTGTAAAACAGGGATAAACAGTGCCTTCCTCACAGGGCTGTTAGGATTAAATGAGTTACTATATGCAAAACATTTGGTAGTATCTGTACATAATAAATGCTACACGTGTTAGCTAAGAATAAGAATAAAAGGTTGTCATGGCCTTTCATGTAAGACAAAAGAGAAAAATAATCAAAGAACTCTTTAACAGTAGAAGAGATGATCAAATTATAAGAAAAACTGAATATCAATTTATATTTCAAATCCCAAAACTGTATTAGGCCAAGAGTATGTTCTCTGGAATTAACACAATTTAGAGACAGGTAAACATATTTTATATGGCAAATATATAAACATGGGGAGCTCACTAGGCTAAGAAGTGATAGTGACAGAAAATATAAAGATTCAAAAGGACAAATGTTCAAATGGCACAACTATAAATGGCCACTGCCAAAAGATGTGGCTTTTATCAAACAATTAAGGTCACTATCCAACAGGACAATCATAACTTCTCAAACGAAGTGCACAGAAGCAGAATACTCGATGGTCGAGACCAATATGTGTATGGGAATTAAATCATGTGAGATATGTATTATTTATGACTCCACTCAATTAACTACCAATCATTTAATAATCAAGTTGGTGAACTTTCCAGAGTCATTATTTCACTTTTATCTCCTTCTACCTATCCTTTATTTCACCTCTGAATCAGCAAACTTACAAAAGCAGAGAGAAAATGTGGAATTCTAGATCTGACTTTGCTATTCATGGCAACTAAGAGATAGTTTGTTGGAAAACTATTAAACACACTGCTAAAAGAAAATGGTTTTTGCATCTACCAGTTTCTATTGTCTACGTATTTCATTTACTATAGATGGGTAAGAATTTGGCTACAGAATACAAAACCTGAAATTAAACCAAATTTGGAAAACATAATCATATCATTTACAAACTATGGCACAACTCTTCCGTAATGGCTACACTTCTGAGTGAGTCCTTTTATTATATTAATATCACTGGAGGGGCTCTATTACAAAGGTTGTCCAATATGCTTCAACAAAGACTCTCACCTCAGCCTTGGGGAATGCTAGGCGGGGCCTGAAGCTGGCTGGTGGCCACCAGACAGAATATTCTCTTTCTCTAATGAGCTATTCAAATATTACTTTCTATGAGTGCCAAGAGTTAAAGAGGTTGGAAAACCTACTAATAATGGAAGAATTGAATAGGAATAGCTTTTTCAGAACTCTTCTTCCTTTATTTGGGAAAAAAATAACTTCATACTACCACAACTTCTACTGCTGATTAAAAGGATTGGTCAGTCTTTTAATATTGAACTGCATTAAAAGAAAAAAAAAAAAGAGGATTGTTCAGGATGCAAATACAAATCCTATTAAATAAAAGGCTAAAAATCTCACAATAAAAATAAAATTTAAGGCTTTCTATTTATGGATATTTTGTTATTTATATTTAAAATTCTGTCAGGGTAAAATTAAAATGTCTCTTCTATTAAGTTAACAAACTAAAACTACAAATTGAGTAAATTAACATCAGCTGTTAATAATTAAAAACCTATTAAGATGTTTAGAATTTTAACTCACAATTAAAAATTTTAGGTTCTTCTATATCATTAATCTATTAATATTAAAAGTATTTAATAACTTTTTTCAGCTTTTCCATAAATATATTCAATTATAAATGTGAGTTATATTTTCTTACCCACTAGCCTCTGGAGGAAATCTGACAGTAACCTTTCCCATCTCTGCACCTGGAAGCTCAACAAATTTCCCAAGATCTTGCTTTTTCTCAGGTGCCTGAAAAACAGAACCAGCATCACAACAAAAAGTTATATGGTTAAATGTTTAAGAACACATTCATTCAAAAAATGAGCAAGGCACCATGCTGGTTATAAGAAAAACGATGACTAGGATATCATCCCCGCACTAGAGGACTCAAAATCTGGTAGATATAAAAAAACCAAATACCAGTAATTGAGATATGTTCGGGGTGCTGTGAGAGCACTCAGTTGAAGATCTAGAGTCATCAGGCGGTAAGAACCACCACAGACCTTGAAAAATAAGTAGAAACATATCAGATGGAGAGCGTACAGCGTATTCATTCTAAGTAAAGGAATAACACCATAGGTAAGACACAAAGGCAGGGAAGAGTAGTGCAATGTCCATTGAAAAGTTAGGAATACATATTCGGTGGGTGGGCAAAGAAGCTGAAACAGATTAAGTCCAAAATATGAAGGATCTTTTAAGCTTTGCTTTATGTTTTAGGCAATGGGGAGTCCTCAGGAGCAATGGGACCACGTATTTCTATTTTCTAAAATGATACCCAGGACAGTGCAGAGACTGAACAAGAGAAAAAAGAAACCAAAGAAAGGAAGTTCAGTTATGAGATTACGGTATTAAACCAATGTGGCCTCGATAAAATGCAGTAGCAGTGAAGATGGACAGAAAACAAATCTATAGATGTTAGAAGTAATAACAGGACTCATTGACCAATTAGATGTAAAAAATGAAGGATGAGTAAAGATTTTTTAGCCAAAACAAATGAGTGGACTGTGGTGTCTTTATTCAAGCAGGCAGCAGTTTCCAAATTTCATTGCTTCAGAAAACCTTGATTGGTGAGGGAAGGGGAGGGAGGAAAAAAAAAAAAGGAACCTTTGTTAAATCGAAACTTTACTATGTAAACAAGTCAAAGTAGAGCAACTCGGTTGGGAGGACCTTTTCTACTGTACTGTATGCCACATTGTCCTATAGAATCAACAAAAAGACTCCGCAAAATTGCAGGACCCAATGGTCAATGATTCAAAAACCAGAGAACAGGAGATTTAGGAGAAAGAAAAGATTTTACAGCTGTAAAATATTGAGATTTTAGTAATATGCCTATGAGACATACATTGGATAACCATAATCTTTAGATACATAATTATAAAGATTAGGGCTTAAATGGCTGAACAATTAAAATCAAAGCAAGACTTAAAAATGGCAAATTCTTCCAAGAAGATCCTTTTTTATTTATGAAAAGAAACTAAACTTTATGAGTAGAAATAATTTTATTTTCGGACCTACGGCCTCAGACAGACTGAAATATCAGCATTTTTTGAAAAAAGGAAGAAAATGGCTTACCACTCTAGCTTTGGTTGGTGAAACATCCCACTTAGTACCTACTGACCGGAAGGCCTGCTGCGCTTCAAGAAAGCCAAACCAGCGTTTCACATGAACTAGAGCTTTGTTCTGTTTCAACTGTTCCTGCCATTCAGCATTTCCTATTATCAAACATAATTTTTAAATTATTTAATAAATCTTAAAAATATATTTGTTAAGTATACAGTTCAATGAAGTTCTCTAATACTAGAGCCTATTCTCACCCCGCACAAACTCACCATAACACCAATGTTGCATTTTGTAATTAAGGAAATCTTTAAATAGATCAACTGGAGGGCAAAATAAAAACCAAGGTGATCGAGAAGTAGCTCAATCCTGAGATGTAACGTCAAAAACAGGTGCTGAAGACAAGGTTACTTAACTCTTTAACATTACAAAGCTATAATCTTACGAGGAATTGTTAAGAGTATGCTGTCTGTCATGAAGTCAGAAATCAAAATAGACAAAATGTCATAAACAAACCTATACATAAAAAAGTCTAATTAGAAAACGCCTTCATTTTATGTTGGTTATCAATACAACAATTTAATTTGGAGCAAAGTTTAAATCAAAAAAAGGAAAGAAATTATAAAAAATACCCATGTATTTACCATAATCCAGATTTAAAGAAGAGTAAAATATTTTGGCATATTTCCTTCAAGTTTTTTTTTTTTTTAAAGAAAATAAACTAACAAAATTCCAGTCCTCTTTGTACTTCCCATCAATCCCATTCTCCTCCCTTCCTACTCTGTAAATTTCTGTTAAATATATATATAACCACAATTTAGCTCCACTTCAATTATGTACATGATTTTGTTCATGTTTGTACATATATTAATAATATTCTAAGTGAATTAATGTACCTCAAACTTTTAATAAATCAAAGACTTCCACATTACCAGAAATGTTTTCTTACATAACTATATCAACCATCCTAAGTAATCCTTAATAATCCATGTTTTCTCACAAATGTAGGTTTTTTTATTTCAGCATATCACAGGGGTACAAATGTTTACGTTACGTATATTGCCCTTGCCCAACCCAAGTCAGAGCTTCAAGGGTGTCCATCCCCCCGATAGTGCACACCGCACCCATGAGTGTGTATATACCCATCCCCTCCCTCCCTGCTCCCATCTGCCCTCAAATGTAGGTTTTGAAAATAATACTCAATGGAGAATTCTTTATGTAATCTTCTTGATTTCTCCGGGTTCACTTAATAACTATACAATCAGAACTACACTATTTAAAGATTTTAACCCCCTTCTGGCCTTATTCTTTATGTGATCTCATGTCATGAAAGCCTTATCTAACTTTATTCCAAAATTATTTACTTTGATATTTGCCTCCATATCTGGAATACATCACTGACTAAGCTATCTTTTCCTAACTACCATACATTCTCCTTTTCCCAAAGGGCTTCTGTCTCCTCAACTCAATGAGACTGCTGGACTCTGTCTACAGATCTTGGCCACTATTTTCTTCTTGTCGGTATGAATTAGAAGTTCCCTTTACCAAACTCTCTACTTTCTGAGAGACAAAACTACCATCAAAACAAGGCAGAAACTTGTCAGGTTTGTTTTTTACCCAAAGAGGTAGACAAGAGATTTCCGAATCCAGGACTCCTATACCTTGCCGCTGTATCCGTCCCATGATCTGCCCTACACAACATCCGCTCGTGCAATATGCCCACCTCCTCTGTAAGGTTCCCATTCTAGGTTCCCACAATGTATACGAGTTTAGGCCTTCTCTTATGTTCACTCCATGTTCTGCAACATGGGTAATTATCACTAGGCACATACGTATCTGAGTAAGTCTATGAAATTCTTAATATTGAGGTTTATAAAGTCATACTTTCCAACGCCATGTTTTAATCATGAGTTATAATCCCACCAAATCTTGGTCCTATCAATGAGATTTACCATCTCACTCATAGCTATTTTTTATTGTGGTAAAATACACATAACATAGATTTTATCATTTTTAACCACTTTAAAGTACACAATTCAGCGAAATTTAGTACATTCACAATGTTGTGCAACCATTAAGAATACCTATTGAAGTTCCAGAACATTTTTATTGCCCCAAAAGGAAATCCAGTACCCATTAAGCAGTCACTCACCATTCCCCTTTCCCCAGTCCCTGGCAACTATAAATCTGCTTCATCTCCTAAAGATTTACAACTCTGAATATTTCATATAAATGGAATCCTACAACATGGGGCCTTCCATATCTGGCTTCTTTCATGTGGCATAATGCTTTCAAGGTTAATCCACATTGTAACATGTATCAACAATTTATTACTTTTTATGGTTGAACAATATTCCATTATAAGGATACATCACATTTTGTTTATCCATTCATCAGTTGATAGACATTTGAGTTGTTTCCACGTTTTGGCTATTGTAAGTAGTGCTGCCATGAACACTTGTGTGCAAGTTTTTGTTTTAACACTTGTTTTCAATTTTGGAGGAGTATATACCCAGGACCACTGGGTCATATGGTAATTCTATGTTTAATTTATTGTGGAACTCAGAATTATTTTTTCATAAATTTTCTAGATACATCCCATACTATTATTCATTTTCTCTGAGCTACATATTGGCTTCTATAGTTTCACAGTTTCAGCTATTTTTTTCCTTCCTATATTTGAAAGTCACTATTTAATTAACAATGTTTCCACCACAGATGAAAGTAACTGGCTTTCTGTATTAGTGGTTGCCTGGGACAAGGGGATGGGAGGATGATTACAAAGGGACATGAGGAACTTTTGGGGGTTGTGAGTATATTTACTACATTGATTGTAAAGATAGTTCCACAGGTGTATACATATGCCTAGACTTATCAAATTATACATTTTAAATAAGTGCAGCATTTTTGTATACCAATTATACCTCAAGAAAGTTGTATTTTAAAAAACTGACTTTGCAAGTTGGTAAGAGCGTATTCTTATCTCTTGCAAACTAGTTATAGAAGTGGACAGTGACCTCCCAGAATAATCACAACTCTAGACCACCCCACCACTCACCCCCAGCCTCCCAATCATACACTCACTGAGCAGTGAAGACTTTTTTCAAGTCACAGACAAGTGTCTGGAGTAAAATAATGGCTGAGGTAGGTGAGGTGCTGACATAAATGGGATGAAGACTTCTTTAGCAGGAACAAGGTCAGCTCCAAAGGCAAGAAGGAAGCTGGGGTAGTGAGACAGAGATGACAACCGAGAAGGATAAGGAATTCCAGTGACTGATTAGGAATAAAATATCCCGGGTGGTCATTCCTCTGTAAGAAAGTCCTGTTACTGCCTAAGCATATATGCACATACATTCATATACATAGAAGTATGTGTACTTCTATCCAGCAAAATATTAAATAATTAAAACAGAACATTTTAAGAAGAACTGATACCTTTCAGAGTGGCCCAAACACATAAATCTGCTAAGCTCAAGGAGTTTCCAACTAAGTATGTTCTCAGAGACAGGCAATGGTTGAGCTCACTGATTGCAGAAGTAAACAAATTACATGAAGACAATTTTGTAGCACTAAACTCCAACCAGTGATCAATCTGTGAACGCAAAGGCAGAAAACAAATGTATTATACAGAGTTTAGACTTAAAAAAAAAAAAAAGACTATGATAAAAAATTCTAGTTAACTGGAACAACAGTACACTCTTGGCTTCCTCAGTTAGAATCATGCTTTTCTTTTCTGGTGGTGGACTAAATTCTGGTTGCCTGGGACCTCAAAAGGAACTTAAATAAAAGCCATATTTTGTTATTTTTCTATGCTTTCTTTTTTTTTGCAGGGGTATGGAGAAGCACTTTGGGAAAGAAAATAAAGAGCTGAGAACTGGTGGCAGGAAAGAGTAACCAACCTGAATAAACCCAAAGCCTGGTACCTAGCCACACAGATTCATTTACTTAAAGAATTTAAAAATAAATATTTAGAAACCACTGTTTGTATTTTGAATTTTATGAGATTTAGGAAAGTTAAAGTAGAATACAAACAGAAAAAAAAAGCAGAATGCAAAGAGCAGTACAGACTTACACCACATAATGACATTTCGGTTAATGATGAAACACATATATGATAATGGGCCCATAAGAATCATAATACTGTATTTTTACTGTACCTTTTCTATGTTTAGATATATTTAGATACACAAATACTTACTGTGTTACAACTGCCTACAGTATTCAGTATAGCAACATACTGTACAGGTTTGTAGCCTAGGAGTAAGAGGCTATACCATATAACCTAGGTGTGCAGTATACTGTACCATCTAGGCTTACGTAAATACTCTATGACGTTCACACAATGACAAAATCACCTAACAAGGAATCTCTCAGAATGTATCCCCTTGTTAAGCGATGCATGACTGTAATGAAAATTAATTTACTACTGTTGTAATTAATTAAATAAGGCATATACTTAGAAAAGAAAATGGGTTCCATACTATGTGTGGGCTGGGCGTGGTGGCTCATTCCTATAATTCTAGTGCTTTGGGAGGCTGAGGTGGGAGGATCACTTGAGGTCAGAAGTTTGAGACCAGCCTGAACAAAAGCAAGACCCTGTCTCTACAAAAAACAGAAAAATTAGCTGGGTGTGGTGGAACATGCCTGTAGTCCCAGATCGCTTGAGCCCAGGAGTTTGAGGCTGCAGTGAGCTATGATGAC